CCCCAAAACCCCAAAACCCCAAAACCCCAAAACCCCAAAATTATAGATTAGATTGAAGAAGATTGAATGAATTCTATCATTAAAGGCATGGTGGCAAACTTTCACTTCCTTTGCATACTTCAACATCATCCATTCCATATTTCTTCATCATGTCTTCCACTGTTTTCACATCAATTGGGCATTCATCGATATGAAGAACCTCAAGAGATTTCCCATGTGAGGATTTACTTAGAGCTTCAATGATCCATTCTAATCTTTCTGGATGATCTTTAAAATCAGATGATAATCCTTGCTCATGGTAATCAGAGCACCAAATAGACAAGAACTTTAACTTCGATCCCTTACTTGTCTCAAAATTCATATCAGAACAAGGGATCAACTTTGAAAAACTAAAGGTAATCTTTTCAACCTGATGACACTTCTGCATAATAAGCTCTAAATCCGATGACTGGATCACAAAGGTATTAAACAGGACCTCCTTGGTCACTTTAGGAAGGGCCTCAGTTAACCCTTCCTGCATGGATGAGAAGTTAATTGGTATATTTAGCCATTCCCAGTTAAGGTATATCTTCTTAAACCCCTCCGGTATGCAATACAACAAGTACTTATTAATAAGCTCAACCACATTGCCTCCAATCCTGGCAGTATGACTTTCATATATCTGAGGAAGAACTATCTTGCCCATTACTAGTTCCTTAATGAACATCAGGGCTTTAGGGTCATGCATGCGCAGCTGTAGCTGACAGGTTTCGTCAAAAGTCTTCTTGCATTTCATGTGCTTATGGTATAAATCCTCGCATTTCTCTTTGTTTACTAAGTTTGGCTTCTCAGGCTTTTTGTCTAGCTCTTCGATTATTCTCTTCACTTCTTCTTGTAAGTCGGTATTTTCTTGAGTGAGTTTGTCCATATTTGTTTTTAGAATATTCATATCTTGCTCAAATCCTTCAGACTTATCTTTCTCTACTTGAAGCTCTTGCTCCTTCTGTCTTAGTTTCTCCTCAAGTGCTGATATAATCTCCTGAGCTCTTGTATCATTTTCAGCAGATTGGCTGGCTTCTCTTGGCAGGTTCTGGATATCTTCTTTGTCCTGCTTGGATTCTTCTCTATTCTCATTCTGAATACTTGCATTATTAGCTGCAAGGCTTGGTTTGGAATGCAATGACTTCTTTGTTATCCTTTTAATTCTGTTTATCCACACTGGATCTTTGCATTCTCCAGATCTGCTTGAAAACGAAAGCACTTGCAAATCGAAAAAGAGTCTGAATATTGGATTGGATCCATCTGATCCACATCCAAATGCTCCAGAAAGTATTTTGGTCTTTATATCCGAAGCTTCTTTTATTAGATCCTCATACTCAGTGAAGTGGTCTCTTCTGATAGCATTTCTAACCTTCATTCCATAAGCCTCAACTTCTTCAAAAATGACTTTAAATGCTAGTTCAAGTCCATCGATCTTCTGTGTAAGCCTAGACGCTTCAGCTCTGATTTTAAGGTCAGTGACAAAGTTAAAGATCTGATCAGCAGCAAGTTCAAGTTCTTTGGAGGTTTGGATAATCTGCTTGTCATTATCAAAGTACAGAATATTGTATCATTCTTCACAGACCTGCTTTTTATATTCAGTGCAGAAGTACCTTCTTGGATTTTTGCATTGAATGTAACTACATAACATTGGATCCTTTACACCTTTCTTCATTCTTTTTAAATGCTATTCCAATGTCTATAACTTCCTCCGGGGTTTTGGGGTTTTGGGGTTTTGGGGTTTTGGGG